TGGGCAATAGTGATGTGTATTACTTCCAAGCAAGAGCATTTAGTTGCTGGAACAAGGTCCTCCAGCCTTGGTCCTGCCTGTCAGGGTGAACTCTAAACCCTCATGTTGAGATGGGGCATCATAAAATGGTATAAAGTGACTCCATGGTGCAGAGCCCATAGTGACCCACAGTGGAGACATAACATGAATGATAAATAAACTTTGTTATTTTTTAGCTACTGAGAGTTTGGGCATGTTTGTTGCCACAGCATAACCTATAGGATACAGCAGTCCAAACTTTGGCTTTCCTGTCGTAGCCCCATGAAAAAGACTTTTTTGGCCCTGGTAGTAAGTCAGTGACCTTAGAGATCTTTTGGTAAAGAGCACTGGATTGAAAGATAGGAAGCCTATGAAGTGAGTTTTAGCCTGGCTCATCTACCAACTAACTACAGGACCTCACGTTATCCACAACCTCCAAGTCCTCACTTTTCTCATCTATAAAATAAGAGTGAGCATATCCCAAGTGTAGGACACATACCGTCACTGGTACTTTAGATCCTTGCTACTCAAGAGTGGTCCAAGAACCAGCTGCACCAGCATCACTGAGATTGTGTTAGAAATGCAAGTCCCTGGGTCCCATCCCAGACCCACTGAATCTGATTCTACATTTTTAACAAAATCTGCAAGTGATTCTTATGCACACTAAATAGGAGAAATATTGATTAGACAGTACTAAGACTCAGCGCTAAATGGCCTATAATCACACAGTAAGAAAGTTATTCCTTTTCCACTTGTCTTTCAATCTTTCTGATAACTTCATGGAGAAAGTCTCAGTTTGATGCCAATATATCTTTACCTCTCTAACAGTTGCCAATTGTCTTTTTTAATAAGGAGAGAATAAGCCTCAGGTCCCTGGGCAGGCAATAGTCTTTAACTTGACTATAATAGCATTCTTCTATTTTTACAGTGTTTATTTAAATGGTTATCTTGTATTTATTAAAACCAGTTTTCTATTTAAAGTGGTGATGGAAACCTCTTTAAAATAAATTCATCTAAGTAGAAAAGTGAATGTATTTAAAGAAAACACGCAATAAGTGGGAAGAAGTGTTTGCTTTAAATGTTTCCTTCCATTGCAGGGCATTGGTTTGACAGTCCTGACTTCTCTCCACAGCTTCATCATTAAGCAACTTTGTTCACTCTGCATGGGGCCAGTGGGGAGTACTACATCTCATTGTAAATTTGGGAGGAATGAAATGAACATGCTCAGGTCAGCATCTCCCTTCTTCCTCTTGGAATTTAGATGCCCAGAAGATAATTACTCATAGATAATTGGCTTATAAATTCCCAGTCTAATTGGTAGGATCCAGCAGCAGGCTATTTATTCAACATGTCTTTATTGTGTGCCTATGATATGCTGGGTTCTGGTTCTGTGTCTTCTCTTCTCTTTCTGCTGCCCAGAAGCCCTTCTCCCTTTGCAGGGCTCTGGACCAGACTCTGGCCAGGCTGTTGCAGTGTCTTGGTTTCTTATCTTCTGAAGCTTTCCAGGGGCAAAAGTCAGGGACATCAATGAGCCTGGGGTCCTTCTAGAAGAAAGCATCAGGTACTCATCATTGTAAATCATGAGACAGAAACAGGTAATCGTGTTCAAGGCATATGGTCAATAACCTCATGGCCTAACCATAATACATCCAAGCAGGTCAATCATTAAAGAATTTTAGTGGTTACCCTGCTAATGACAGAGACTTTTGGCAAAAGACCTTAGGTGTGAGGGCACAGCCCATTCCTTGGAGAGTAAGAAATTTTGTGTCTGAGCCCTGCATTTGCCTTTATCAGTTTTCCGCCACTCAACTAAAATGGCGCCCCTTCACTCCTTATTATATGGCTCTGTTGTGTTTTCATCATGGTATTTATGTCCACTTCTTTGTTCACTTGTGTAGGGTCTGACTTCCTCCACTAGACTACAAGCTCAGGGAGAGCAGGAGCCATTTCTGTGTTGTTTGTGGCTGTATCTCCAGTGTCTAGAACATGTCAAATAAGTGAATCAACACTCCCATATTCCAATTGTTGGAACAAGAAAACTAGGATGTGTACTTTCAAGATCTAATAAGCAGTCACTCTGTAGGTTCATTGCTTAACCCTGGAACTGAGCTGTGCATCAATGGTTCCTGCTGCGTGTGGGTCGAAGTGCTTGACTACATTTTTATCTACTGCATTTCTGTTCATCGGTTCATTAATGCTCTGCCAACAGCTGCAAAGTGTCTGCAGTGACTTATAATGGAAACAGTCAAAAGATAAGAGCTCATAAGTAAAGGAGTAGGACTCAAGGGAAACCTTATCAAGAAATCATTGTTAAGGTATAAATTTCTATTGCAATCTATGCAAGGTCTGTCACCCAAGCTCCCTTTTCTGCCCTTTTCTGGGCATTCAAAACTGGTTTGAAAAAATTATTCACAGTCCTGGAGCAATTTCTAGTAAAACTACCCGACATTTTCTGAAATTTATACTCATCCAAGTAACTACTTATAAGGCACCATTTTTGAGGCAAAATTAAATTAGTTCATGCTTATTCTTCCATTTCTCATGTTTGCGCATGACAACACAGGAGTGGATAGGAGTCAGAGGCAAAATTTTACCTGGCCTGGACAATTTTTTAAATGATATATATATGAGCACGGGTAGGCACCGTCTGGTCTTTTGGTCTCCCTAAATATTAAGAGGTCTAGATTGACACTTTGTGAAGAATATTAAAAGGAAACAAGCCAGGAAACTGAACAGGAACCTGCTGAACTGTGGGGGAAGCTCCTCAGGAGCCCCTGCTCATGTGAGCGTTTCATTGGGTTTATTGGCAGTGAATTGCAGACTCGTATCACCATTCAAGGTGCTGATGAGTAACCAGAAATTGCTCCTGGGTGCTGAATATTTTTTCTAGGAAATCAAACCCATTTTGAATATCCAACCCCAATTTTACTTAGCAAAAGCAGAAAAGCCTGCTGTCCAGAAATACAGGCACAAACTTAGCTCAGATATCAAATACACATAACTACTGTGATTGTGGCTGGTGTCATTCTAAAAATGAAAAGCCAGGAAAAAAATGAGATTTAATCCATAAATTCATCACAGAAGAGAGGGAAAATGGAAAACACAGCACTCAAAACACTGCACCCCTTAAATTGCATGCACACACACAGACTCACAGAAACACACCGACATTTCAGTAGCTGCCTATTTCAAGACAAGTGCCATCTTCCCATCCTTTCATGCCCATAATGCAGCTGGATGGGAATAAATTCAGGGTTTTCTTCAGTCCATAATATTAATAGCTTGTATTTGTTTACTCTTTACTTTTCAGGTGTGGCTTCTCCTACATTATCCCATTTGAACGCTACAATCATCTCATGGAGAAGGCATACAGACATTCTACTCCCATTTTAAAGATGAGACTCATAATTTGAATGATTTGCCAAAGATCACACAATAAGTAATTGGCAGAGCATTCACTAAGACTCCAAACTTCGGATTCTCTAAGTCTATGCCTTTTCTGCCATGTTTCACTGCTTCTTGGGTATCCCAGAAAGTTTGATATACCCTGAAGGACTCTCATAAGCTTAAATTATGGGGATGTCCCAAGACTTCAGGCCTCAATGATAGTCCAAGGCAATAATAAACTCGAGCTAGGTGGACTTACCAAGACTGTCCTGGCACTGATCAGTCATTTTTCTGGGGAGAACCCAGGGCCTCTGAGCTAGAACCAACAACCTAAAGTAGATTTTAACTGTTCCATCCCAGGGAGGGGGTATCAGTTAGCCAGTATTCTCCTCAAACACAAGCCAGTGAACTTGTTTCCAAGGGCAGGGAGTTACATTTCATTAGCTCCTATATATTTTGAGGGCTTGAACCAAAGAGGCAAGAATTCGTGAAGGTACTTTCCATCTATATCAGTCTACTCAAAGCATGTTAAATAATTCACTCTCTGATGAGGCCAAACACGGCTGAGTTGGTACCATCTGGTCCTCATCCTTTGAGACATAACTCTGGAATACTCATCTGAATGGAACCAGTGAAAAATATAAGCCTGTGTCTCTCTTGTCTCCACTCAAACTAGTTATCTGTCTAGCTTGACCTTACAAATGCCCCCTTCCAAGTTTACAAAAGATAGCTCCATTCTGCTGGCACAAATCACAATCTTCTTGTTTTCTGAAATTTATTTTAACTGAGGCAGGGGAAGGACTCTTATTTACTGTGTTCCAAGTATACGTCCAGCACTGGGCTAGGCAATTTCAAGAACATTCTCATTTCTAATTCTCATGACAGTCCTGTGAGGGGGTCATTTCACAGATGAGAGAAGAAAGGCTAGGAGAAGTCAAATACCCCAAGGTCACACAGACTGGAATTCCTGGCCCCTCCTCAAATCTCCAATCCACAATCTTTCCACTCTAAGATGTTGAGAACTCAAAGATAAACTTGGCCCACTTGAGCTTTGGAGAAGGAAGAGGGTCCTGTCTTTCTTAGGAGGAGAGGGGAAATCCATCTCTCCCATTCGTTCTTTCCAGTAATGCTGAGGGAGATGGGAGAAATTTAGGAGCAGCAAGGGCCCAGCAGAGGAGGGGGAGAAGCTTTCAGAGGGCAGGGAGCAGATCTGGGTAGCCACCTTGGTTCAGTGCCTAGGCCAGCAGAGGTGGAGCTGCTGGCAGATGCCTTCTCAACACAGGTACACTGCAGAGTCCTGCCTGGTCCTGCTTTCCTGGAGCAGAGAACTGACCCTATCTCTGGACCCCTCAGCCTCTGGACAGCCTGAGATACTGGAAGCGGCCCCTGGAGGCTCAGTAGACCAGGGACAATTTGAGAGTGGCAGATAGCAGAGTGTGTGTGTGTGTGTGTGTGTGTGTGTCTGTGTGTGTGTCTGTGTCTGTGTCTGTGTTGGGGGAAGAAGGGAGGGGTGTCTGGTGAGAGGCTTTGGCTCCATAATGTAAGGGGTTGGGCCGCCCATGTGACTCCAGGAAGGCGGGGACAGGCGAGCTGGAGGGAGGACTGACAGGCCGCTGGGAGGGGTGCGGGGTAGGGGGAGCGATCTGAATAATTGAGGAGCTGTTCAGCAGCAGAGGCTGTCTCCTGCCTTCCTTTGCCACCGCCACCCCGCTTCACAGTGGGAGACACAGAGCCAGCGCTTAAGTGCGGACCGCTACCAACAGCCCGGGCAGCCAGTTCATCGCCTCCAACCCTTTGGTGAGTGAACGTCCCCCTTCGCCGCAGTCTGTCTCCCTCTGCGCCCCCTGCATCCCAGCTGGACCCTACGAATGGGATGATCACCTCTCGTTGAATGAATCAGGGAGCCGGAGCCACTAGGAGGGGGGAAGCAGGAACATGGCGCGGAGGCTGAGGGCGCCCTCCGGGAAGGGGTCCCCTGGAAGAAGGAAGGAGCTGGGTCGGGGTGTCTCTGGCTCTGGCCGGTAATGGGGCCTGGACAGTGTCCAGGGTCAGGGCACGCCGGGCTCCGACTCGCGGGAGCTGCCAGGCAGGGCTGGGGCAAACGCAGCCCCGGCGCGGCCGGAGCGAGGGGCGGAGGGGGGAGCTGCGAGAGGCATCCCGGCCGCCCAGGTCTCCAAAGAGGCCGAGCGCGTCCTTTTCTCCCCGCCTTGGTACACACTCGGCTCCCGCAGCTCAGTTCTCGGCCTCGGAATGAGTCCACGGAAAGGAAGAGACGCTTTTCCGGCCAAAGCCCGAGGGGAGGGCGGGGACAACGTCTGCCCTTTTACCTGAGAACAAACTCTTCAAAGGGACTCCAGCTGAGCCCAGTGCCTTGACCAGGCCTGTGTGCTCCAAGGGGCATCTATCCCCAGAGAGTGGTGACATGTCGAGGACGTAGAGGAGGACATGATGGGAGCAGTGTCCCTGGCCTGGGTGGCAGCCCCCGGGAAAGAATTCACTCCCGCACTTATTCACCCCGTCAGAGGCTCCTTTCTTCCCCCATCCCAAAGCACAACAGTTTCCTACGAATCCAGAGGGCCGGAGTAGGGCAGTGAGGCCCCGCAGGACGAGGCCCCGAACCTCCTGCTCCCTCCTGAGTAACCCCTCCGCAACGTATATTTTACATTGTAATTGAAAAGTAAGATAGAAGTCTTCAAATGACTAGAAGCAAAAGGAAGGCGGAGGAAAGATGCGGAGAAGGCTGGAACAGCAGGGTTCTCGCCTGCTCCTGTCGCTCTTCACCCCACTACCTGTGCGAAGCTCAGTTCGTTGAGGTCTTGAACTGAGAGGCGCAGAGGAACGGCCCTGGGGAGGGATTCTCACCAAAATGACGGGGCAGTCATTGGCTAGAGATGGCCAAGGACCACAGAATCATAACCCGCTCCCTCGCCAAGGTAAGGGGTCCGGAGAACACCGCCGGCAGGACAGCACCAGGCAGGACCCTGGGGCGCAGAGCGGACTGCAGGGAGGGGCGCTGTCCGCGGTGCTGAAAGTTATCCGAGGCGGGTTGCTGATACTGCCGGGGAACTGGCGTCTCAACCCTTGCCAACATTTCCCAAAAACAGAAACTGCATTTGAACCACATAAAGTGAGTCAGGTGGAGCAAGCGACCTAGAGAGACAGGGAAATGCACTGCCTTCCTGGGTTCTCTGAATTTCCCCAGACTCCGTCTGGAAGGAGGTTTTCTGCACTCCCGGGTAGAGCAGCAAGGAGCGGATGTCACTCCAGATTCCAGCTTTGCTAACTTTGGGTGGGGGCGAGGAGACCTGTGGTGCCTCGTTCTATTTCCTCTGCCTGCGCGGTGAATCTTCCTTTTGGTAAAGTGTTGGAAAAGCAGTTAAGTTCTGGTAAACACTTCTGTGGCTTTTAGGAACCAGAGAGTTGTGAGGCTACACAAAGGAAGAGGTTTCATTCCCGAGATACTGGGCTTTCCATTCCTGACATTCCTGACTATGGCTTTTCCTCTCTCCAGCACCCTTCTCTCCCCACCACGTGTTGTTTACATCCTCTAGATATAGATCTCTAAGCAGCCCTGGGCGTTTGTTTCTTTGACTAGCCTTTTATATTATGGGTAAGATGGGGAAAGAACTAAGCCAATTTTGGGAAGTCAAATTATGAGAATATTTACTGATTATCTACTATCTTCTGGGTAATATTATCTCATTTAAACTTCACAATAGCTGCTAACTGTAATTACAACAAAGATAAGAAAACTGAAGTTAGGTATCTCGAATCCAGAGCTTGGATTCAAATTCAGGTCTGCTTAACTCCAAAGTCCAAGCTGTTTTCACGCCCTCATTTTGGTGTTTGGCTTTGGATAGCTGTTATTGGGGAATATAGCAAGAGAATGTTAAAGGAGGAAGGCCTGCTTTCTTTTTCACACACACTATTCTCTCTTCCAACCCTTTTCTCTTTAATTTGCCCACCCACCCACTGTCACTCACTCCCACCATACCAACTGCTTTTGTGCATGCTGCTTGAGATACCACTGTTCACACAACTTGAGCTTCAGGAGTACAGAAACAAGTTAGAGGACTAAAACAGCAGGCTTTCCTGAGAGAGAGCAGGGCTTCAGGGAATCTGGAGGACTAGAGCCCACATGTGCTTTTGTATTCAGAGTTATACTGTTGAATTTTAGGACTTTAAGGAATAACCTTAAAAATCATTCAGCACCCTTATTTTACAAGAAGAAGAATTTGGGACCAAAAGATGGTCATTAGTCTGAGTCATGTGATTGAAAAGTTAGGATTGGAACCCAATTGCCTTCACTCCAGAGCCAGTGCCCTTTCCACTATGCCTATGTTGCCTCAAATACTCTTCCATGCTGCCTTCTTTGATTATCTTTGACAAGAACATTAGCATCAGTGAGCTATATTCAGTAATATACCATAACGCAAGCACCTAAAATACAAGCAATCCTCTTACTTACTTTGTCTTGCCATTCCTTCCTCTCTTGTCTCACTATTCCAGTGTTGTCTGACCTAACATGCCTGAGACATCCAACATACCTTCCTCAGAAACAGTTCCCCCTATGGCAGCAATTTGCAAATGGGGATAGTGGAGTGGCATTCCTCCACTTGCCTTTATGTTGTCTATATTTTCTCTTCTGTGATCTATTCCCAATAAAATAATTTTTCCAAAATCAAAGTGTAGGTATATGAAAGCACTTTAAGGAGCATGATTAAATCTGTAAAGGTTGATAACTTCATACAGAAGTAGTATAGAATAGTCTAGTATATAAACAAATAGGATTGTTTTAACTGATGCATTTCTGAATGTTTTTAATCCCTGGTATAAATGTATTTTGCTTTATTATCATTTTTCCACTGAAGAAAAAACACTTTCTGGTTCTTGAGATTTCTAATTGATTAGGTCCTATTAATTAAGTTCTATTAATTACTGTGTATTGTTTTTGGTTTAGTTTATTTGGTCCTGAATATTTCTTTCAGGAAAAAATTAACCAGGAAGTCTCAGTGGTTCTCAGCTTTTACCTTCTAACTGATAGTTTTAAGTCAGTTGTCAATAGCTATCCTGTCATAATAATAAGGATTCAGAGATACCATAAAAAGTATTATGGATATTCCTCAGTATGGGTAAGTGAGGGGGATAATTTAAAAGGAATATTTTCACTATTACTAGTTGAAATGAGCTTATACCCATCTCATGAGACAATGAGAACAAAAATAATTCTATTTCATGCATTGATCTCAAAACAAACGTAAAGACCATTAATTTGACTGAATTCTCGAGGATGCGTTAGGGATCCTGATGTTAAGAAGTCTTTAAGCCACCCATTCTCTATGATAAAATAAGCTCAGGTCATGAGTAGAACCTTAAGCACTTAGCTAACATTTACTCTCAAATCTGGCACCTATTGCTCACCCTTGAGCCTTGATCTATGGTGCTTATGCATCAAGTAGGAGTGCTTTTTTATATCCCTGACTGGGTCAGGAGATGACACAAATGCAGCCATACCTTCTTTAATAGGTCACCATTTTGATACTTAAATATTTTTCTCTTACAACACCAAGGTTCACACAATGCTCAGGCAGTATAGAAAAGAAGCTTTCAAAGGAAGCTGTTCCATCAGATGATTCTTAATTGTCTTTATTATGGTTGTTGTTCATCTTGAAAACTCAGAGAAGTATTTTATTTTATTTTATTTTTATTTATTTATTTATTTTGTCAAAGCACCTGAGAAATCAAGCTGAGTATGGCCAAAGGCTCTAGAGTCTATCTCTGGTTCCAGGATCTCTGGCAGGTTATTTCCTTTCTTAGGCACCTAGTTAAGTCTTAACAAAGGCATCGATGATAACTTGTAAGATGCTCTGCCAGAAAAATAGCTGACACATACTCTTAGCCCCTGATGCTGATCAAGCATGACTTTCTCAGGCCATTGTTGCATATGGAATTATATTACTAAACAGAAAATTAGGGATATTGTCAACTCTGGCCTCTAGTAGATCATGCTGGCTTTAATAATAAACACTCTTTTGGGAGGAATCATGGTTTATTCATTTCATGGAAATTGTTTATCTCTTGGAAGGACCTGGATTTTGAAAGAGGGAAAATATATTACCTCGGAGTTGAAAAGAGTTTAATTTTCACCATCTTTAGCTTGAGGGATTTCACTGATTTTGTATCCCAGGAAATAAAGAGAACTGACAATGTAGCTTTGAAACTCATGCTGGTAACATGCAGTCATTCACTTAATCAATAAAGTAATTGAGAATTGTCCTATAGTGTCCCAGAAATGCTGTGGTTACAGGTGTTTGGAACTCCCATAGCCTGGCACATGAGTGCTCAAAAAATATTTGTTAAATTCAGGCCATTGTTCTAGGTCATTTCATGCCATATACTCATCTAGCCAAGAAATGAGTATTCTCTGTGGCATTTTCCTTTAGCAAATAAAACTGGAGACAAATACAGAACATCAAATCTGACCCTGACAACCACACTTCTAACCCCTCTGGGGGCATAGGTAGTGGTGGCCAAGACAGGTTGCTCCTGAGGATTGTGTCTTCCTGCCCTTCTCCAGGGAACAAGGAACACAGCAGCCCAAGGATCTTGCATGTCACTGTGATGAGGCAAATTCATAAACTCAATGCTTAAATGGAGTCATATGTTATTTTCCACTTTTACCTTAAAGAGATATGTGTTATTTCGAGAAAGTATTTGATTGGCCTTCATGATTGTTGCAGGCAATTACTATTGTTCTTAAACTCAGAAGGAGCTCAGCTTAGAATGAAAGCACATAC